CAAAATGACCTGAAATCACCCCAAAACACCGTTTTCAGCTACAAAAAAACCCCACCACCCTTCCAAATCACACCGAACACCAAATACGAATAACAGAACTGATATAATTTCAAAATTCCCAACTAACCCGACTGCGAACTCAACTGCCAAGTGGCACGTTCGCAGTCGTCACAGGACCCCAAATTCAAACTTACCACTCTGTTGCAGTTTCATATAACCGCCCACCTCTCCGTCAAATCGACTCGACAGCCGATAAAACTCACCCGCCAACCGTTAGAATCTCAACTGTAGTAACCTGTAAAACTCATTAGTGAAAAGTAAAAATTACTATTAACGTTATTACTTTTATCGCACTTATCATTATCATTCACCATCTCAATGCATTACAACAACAAATAATCATCACAATATTTATCATTAATTTAAGACCAATATTAGCATATTTTGCAATGACGACACATTAAAATAGAGCATCGGATAAGTCGAACTAGATCTAGATCACTTTAGCAGTTCTTCTTGAGGTGGTCGACTCGATCGCCGATCTTGAGGTGATTCTTCTTGAGGTGATTACATTACACTCTCATACCAATGACAACAACTTACTTTATGTATACAAAGTAAGATTACTTCATGTTACAATTTACATTACTTAAGTAATTTACATTACACTACTTTACTTATGTTGTGGTGCTGCTTTGTTGTGGGCTGCAGCAGCATCGCAGAATGGCAGATCTGAAGGTGTTCGGGCTGAATATGGAGGAGAGTCGTTTACGGAAGGGCTGAACGAAGTAGAGGGCGATAAAGGGATAGGCACACGGCTCCCAATTGAACAGGATCGGTACAACACTCGCATAGATGCCGATGTGCACTGGCGTGAGCATAACGCCGAAAAGGAACAGTATCGGCATTATTATGAATATTTGCGGGAGGAGCGCCTGAAAATGCTTTGCTCTTTTACGTTTACTTATTTATTTGTTTACTTATTTATTTACCTGAAGTAACATGACAATGGTAAGCTGTCTCTGAAGGTGTCGCGTCCGCTCACTGACCCCACTGGCTTTCGTCTTTCGTATGATCCGTGCCGATGTCCAAAACACCACCGTATAGGTGAGAATGAATATCGCGCCCGCAGTTGTGGCACACAACGTTCCTGCGATGGTATAACCCTGAAAAACAAAACAAAGGGCTGGTCACAACAATTTTAACAATTTTACAGCAACAGTCACAAACGACGAATAATGACAAACCAACGTCGTCACGAGTTGTCACAAACTTCACAAAAAAGTCACAAATGAATTAAACTTTTCATAGAGCTAAATTGTAAGCAACAGCAGCAGCAGCCACAAACCTTCTTAAAGAAGAATGTCAACGTGTCGTTTCGCATGAAAATGAAGTCGAAACGCTCCTGGTCTTCAATGCGCAACGTACACCCGCTAGTGATACCAATCGTGGCACTGACAACTGTGACAAATACGGCCACCACACACGCTCCACGACACGTGAATAGACTCTTCAGATAGTGCTTACTGAAACAAATTTGGCCATGTCACAAGTTGTCGATCGATTGGACGCATGGGTATCGATCCTCGATCCATCGATCAGATCAAAATGATCTGATCTCTCTGATCTCATGATCAGATCATCAGCAGCAGAAAAAACAAACTCACTCGCATATGAACGCATATCGAAAGATGAACACCAGCAAGACCAGAAACATCTTACAACTGAACAGAAATATCACGAACACCCAGCCGTAGAGTGCTAAAAATTGACCGCTCGACGCCAAAATACCCTTTTGCACGAAGTATATCACATCACCGTCTTCATAGAAACCCTAAAGTATCGGCTATTCAGTGAACTGATCAAATCACTAGCGTCAGATCAGAATCAGCAGATGATCACCAATCAATCAATAACCAGATCACTCACCAGATCAAGCAGCGACAGGGTCAAGCACGTGATCAGCTCCAGAATCGATTCAATGGCCATGATCAATCGATACTCGTGAATCTCCGAGAGCTGTGTGGTCAAAATCAGGAACACCACTAGCAGATTGGGTACCACACAAAGCACCGATGTGATGTGTGCATTAATTGTCAAAAATTGCGCAATAAACGTATGCATTTGGGAATTTCAGTTGCTTTCACTTTAAAATGGCACAAACACAATGTCCAAAAATCGACAAAATACTCAGTGGTAATCCTATGACCATCCAAAAATCTTAATCTCTTAATCTCAAAATATCCCGAACGTTCAATCCCGAATATCCCAAAATATCTATTATCTATTTTGTGATATCTAACCCGCCTGCGATATCCGTCCGTCCGTACTCTTAATCTCAATCTTATAAACCAGCAGATATTTCTAAGCCTGATCCCAAGCCTGTACCTAAGACAGAGATAGACATCTACCTATGTTCTCATATGCCATACTCAGTTAAGAATTCGATTAAATTAAGAGTTTCAGAGAATTAGATGATGCTTAATTGATGACGGTGTGAACCAAATTGTTTATTGTGTTGCTGGTGTTAGGTGTTTAGGTGTGTGTGTGAATTTTGTGGCATTCGTGTGAGATTTGTATTAGCTGAGATTAATTTCCGAATGTTTCACTAAGAAATTCATGCACTGTTTGAGAGTGAATAGAATTCGAACATTCAAATAATGTGACCAAATTAGATGTTATCATAATAATAATCGTCATTATGAAAGGTGAGAGTATTCTCACGTTTATTTATGATATCCAGTAGATCGCTATGAACTCTAGGATATCATCTGGATATATCCAAAAATAGAACACACTCCCATGCACTGAAATTCCGGGCACTTTTTACTTTTGGGGGGGGGGGGGNCCGCAAGTCCATGCGCAGTAGGCGTGGCATGCGCGAGCGTACTTGCGTGCGACCTCCCAAAGTGAAAAAGTGCCAAATTCCGTTCCGCCTTACCGAGATCAATCCCGATCTAGGGCAAATTTTACCCGTACAATTTCCCCGGGCAGTTCTCAGGGAGCAGTTTGTCCGGAGTCCGGGGGCCATTCTCCTAACCAATCATATGCGACAATACAATACAATACAACACTCAATAGAATATATCTTAATAATAATAATAATGATACAAATATTACTACAATAAAAATATAAATAATACAAATAATAAAAATAATATCAATAAATACACAAAATGAAGATCGCTAATGAATCTATTCACAATCAGATTCTACAGCATCAGCTAAACGATATGATACAACAAGTCGATGTGCCAAAACATGTTGAATCCTCGCAACCAATGAGGACAAAATGTCCCTGAACGACGAACCACGACAAATATGGGTAAATGGGCTAACTGTCCTAGCAGTGGCTAACCTAGTACTACAACCTAGTAAATTTCAGGTTACACCAAAAAATTTTTTTTCGAAAAAAGCCTGAAATAAACAAACAAAAAAATTCCCACTCCCATTTTTCACTTCGCTAGACCAAGATGGAGGATTTTCCGAATAGTTTTCGGGCCAAGCCAGTAGCCTTTCACCAGGAATCTCCAGTAGAGGAACGGCAAGAAGTATCGTTTGAGGAGGTAGCCCACGTAGGTGGGTCGGGCACCACAGAACGGGATGGTCTCCAACGGACCGTCCGGGTTAAATTCGGCCAGGACTACGGCTCTCTTCGAAACCAGAAGAGGGCACGACGCGTAGCCATCGTACTGAAATTCATTATTATTTATTATTATTATCATTATTTATAATAATAATAATTATTTATTATTATCATTATTATTACTATTTCAAAAAATCAAACAATATTTGACCTTTCCAGTGAGCGGTTTGCCTTTCAACAACGCCGGAAGATTTACATTCATTGCGCGCAGCTGACTTGCTGAAACAACAAAAAACAAATGACACGTCATCCCCGATGATCAGAATCGATCAATCGATATGGATCAATCAAAAAATTTCCACAAAAAAAGAGCACAAGGCACTTACAAACAGCTGCAGCCGTTTTTGCATTACCCGTATTCAGACAATCGCCCATTCCGAACACATTCGGGTAATGCCTACTCAACAGAGTCTCCGGATCGACGTCCAGCCAACCTTTTGCATCTGTCAACCCAGGACACTCTCGTAGCGGTTTCACGGGTGAGCACGGTGGAGCCACATGCAGAAAATCGTACTGAAGCGCAGAAAAATCACTCACTATCAATATCTTCACTATCAGGCTCCGGCTCCGGAGCTCTCAACAAAACGCTAAAAGCTCCAGCCTTCAGCCAGGCTCCGGAGCCCGAGTGTTTGGCTCCTGGCTAACCTTAAGCGTTAACCTATCCTTGGTGGGTTGAGCGTTATCGTCGAGCACCTCAAATGTAGCGGTTTGTGTTAGCGGATCCACTTTAATTAAATTTCGTCTAGTCATTAGCTTGATCTGCTTTTGTTGCACGACCTTCATCAACGCGTCGGCATATTTCTTGATGCCGAACACTCCGGCCAATGAGGTGCAGTAGGTGATCGAGATTTTATCACGGACACCTCGCTGAAACTTTTCTATTTTTTACGAAATTAACGATAAAATTACCGGGTAACTAATAAAATTAAACCGGGTAATCACCGGGTAATAACCAGACCAATGGCACCCGCTGGACAAATGGTACCCGTCGTAACTAATAAAACTAACGATAAAATTAACGAGTAACTAACAAAAATTAACGATTTCGGCTCTAAAAAGATAATTAGAAAAATATTGTTAAAAGATTTTGGGAAAATTTTTTTACCTGTCGAAAAATTTCATCGGATATATACATGATTTTCTGCGGCGCACCAGCGCATTTGATTGGTGTATTCGGGAATGTGTAAACTGCTTGCCCGCCGGGAAACGCTTGCAGTTCCTGATTGGTTTTTTGGGCTAAGTGTGGCAGATAGACACTGTTCACTCCTTTGAGCTGTAACGCCTCGGGTAAACCTTCTACCTGAAAAATTTCCCGGGAATCATACAACCATACCCATGAATTTTGTGAAAAATTCGGAAAATCTAATGCAACTACCATATCATAACGAAGTTCAAGTCCTGGCGTAACCACCAGCACATCGTACTTGATCTCTGAGCCATCGCTGTAAATCAATAATCAATCAAGAAGTCAGATTTTTCGCAAAAAATTTAAAAAATTACCCAAAATTATTTTCAGGCTACCCCACAACAAACCTAAAACTAACTCAAGTATCACTGAATTATGTTGTGGCTGCATTTCAGTCACTGCTCGCTGAATCCACACAGATTCGGGATCGATCAGCGCTCGAGTTGGCCTCACGCAGCTGGTCAATGTCTTCATGCCACCCGCCACTAGTGTGAAACCTCCTTGGAACCAGTGATCCTGAAATGGAAAATTCCGAAATATTTCTGGGAGATTTTCCAAATTTTCCACTTGACACGTGAAAATTTTCAAAATTTTTCATAAAATTCTGAAAATTTTCAAATTCTAAATCAAATATTCCTTTGAAAAAAAACTTGCCTCACAAGGCTCAATCACCGCAATTTGACCTTTTGGTACCAAATTTTTGAAACGCTGCGAAATCGCCATTCCGGCCGCACCTCCGCCCATTACCACTATGCGGTAATGAGCCGCTAAATGAATCTACTATTATTATCGATAACATACCATCCGGCACCCTCTGGCAGTCAAAATACCTCGATTAAACACCCGATCCAGAAACCACCCTGATTTTTAACAAATTCTATCAATCAATAATCAATCAAATCCTTATCAACGCAATTTTGAGACCACTACTCACCTGCTAGAGTGCTCGTTAATCGCATTGCTTGCTGACTTTTGCAGATTATCACCTCGAGAAATTTTTAATAATTTATATTATTATTATTCAATTGACTGAATAACTGAAAACCTTTTAAATAACCAACGACGTAATAATATTAATCAAACGATAATACAATACAAACTCAAACTGCCCATTGAAAAATCCCAAAACATTCGAAAGCATCCACAAACATTCGATCTAAAGCATTAAAATAATAAGAGAAAGGTGCTAAAAATCCGGTTTTACTCATTAACTTAATGAAGTGAACTGAACCAACATCACTGTATCAATCAACACTGATCACCACCAGTATGATCAACACCGATCACTAGTGTGATCTTGTGATGTTGACTATTCACCTAACCACTAAACGCCTTCTTTCCCCACTCTAAATTTCCAGTTTTACTTACGTGAATGAATCAAAAATCAACATTACACTCTGCGATGACGTTTTTTTTTCAAAAAAATTTTCAAAAACCCATAAAAATAATGTCTATCCCTAATGGAATTTCATTTCATTCCATCTCTCTTTTAGAATACTTTGATCTTTAGACTTCTTCAAAATAATCACTGAAGTGATAAACGCAGCGACGTCACAGATGTTGATTTCATATCGATGATATTTTCCGATCACCACCCAACTGATCGTTAGGTAAACCAATCAGCCGACGGATCGATCAATCAACACTGATCACCAGTATGATCATATATAATCAGAACACGCACTCTTACGCCTTCCCATGTATAGACGAAATGCACCACCGGAATGAAATCAGTGTCTCTCGTTTATTATAATAAATATCAGAGCAATAGATGGGCAGATCAGCAACAACACGTGAAAGGTCATACCCATTCTGCCCCCAACGAACAATTGTCCTACCACCTAATAACTTCCAGGCAAATCCAACCCACACTCTCCTCCACTGATCTCCAATCAATCAATCGATCACAAATCAAAGAATCGATCTGATCGGCGAACTCAAAAGACTTCGCTCTCTCTCTCCCACACCATTTTTATTCTCGGTCTCACCTTCAGTTCGCCGAATAAACACATCAAATTCCAAAAAAAAGGAATTCATTTAATTTCATTTCCCGTTTTCGAGAAACCCTTCTCACTTCTCTCAAAATAATAAAAATAATAAATCTCTACTAACCTAATAATAATAATAGTAATACCAATAATAAAACCAACGTCATAACGATAACATAATAAAAAAATAATATAAAAACAAAACAATAAACACAATAAAATAAAAATAACCAAAACATAATAATAATAATAACAACAAAACAACAAACACAATAACATAACAACACCACAAAAATAACCATGCCGTGCCCATGCCCATAACCATAACAATAACAACACTCTACCCATGACATATTCATGACAATTCCTTTATTCATACATCCATCTCCAAGAACAATTCACAAACGTCAAATCTCGACGACCAAACAAACTTTAACTTTAAAAACTCACCACCAATTCACCAATCTACAATTCACCCACTACATTCTCAAATTTCCTGCTGCTGCTCACTGGTACATACTCTACCCGAATCGACTCGGGTAGCAATTTGCCCATGACCACGGGCTCCTGGGGCCTTCTGACCACTCCTTGAGGTCCCGCGTAGACATATGGCAGCCTCAGCACGTAATACTTGGCGAATTCCAGCCTGATCGGCTCCTCGCCGGTGCCGAAAATACAGCCGTTCGGCGAGGCCGACGGTTGCACCCTGGGGTCGAGCGTCACCGTCACTGGTGCCTTTGGCGTCACTATATGAATGCGCATCAACTGCGCACTCACTTGAGGCGACCGACGACACGTACAATGCATCCAGACGGGAATCTCCGACCGCAGAAGCTCCGCTCCCATCTCCTGAACAGAAATTTTATAAAAAATTTCGGAAAAGTTGAAAAATTCCGGAAATTTTGTAAATTTTTATGAAAATTTTGAAAAATATCTATCTCAATTTCATCCACACCACCAGCATACCTTGGAGTTCGCAGACGAGGCACGCATTGGAGAGTTCGCTTTCTCGATCATAAAACGATGACCACGTGGACATTCATATTCAAAACCCACAAACAACTGCAAAAACTCCGCATTTTAACGGAAATATCTCGCAAAAAAAAGAAAAATAACTGAAGAAAATGGAAAATAAATACTGAAAATGGGAAAATTCCAAAAATTTTCATGAAAAAACAACGACGAATTATCGCATTTCGACATCATATTCACAAAGATTCCACGATAACACACACGATCGGAGACGAGCACTTGTCCGGGAAGAAGTTCGGGAAGAAATGCTCCCACGCCACCCAAAGTCATGTCGCGATGTGCCACACATCATCGGGCTCACTTCGCCACCGCCCCATGACATTACTGCCCTCCTACCCGCCCCCTCACCAATTTTATTGCTATTTTTTCAAATTTTTGGAGTTCCGATTCAAATTTTTTTACCAAAATACTAACAAATTCTACGCTCAGGCATCAAAAAAAGGGAAAATTCTTCCAAAAAAAAAACAAAAAACAACAAACACGACAAAAACAGCACAATAAATCGTCCTAGACCTTGACTTTCTCTCGATTCATTGTCGATAGAAGACCGCCGCCGGCTGATCCTCCGCTAGTCGGGCATCCGATTCCACTCGTCGCTTTCAAATGATGTCTCCGCGGGGTGCGATGGTGATGGCTTCCCGATAGCGTCGTGTCATAGTTCAAAATCTCCTTCATGTCCAAATCCCACAGCTCCATATCGACCATTAGATACACATCCCAGGGCAGTAGATATTGCGTGCCGTTCTTGAAATTCGGCTGATCGCGTATACCCGCTTTGTGACTGTAGATACTCGACGGTCCCAAACACACCAGAGACCATGACGGGTAGAGTGGTAGAAGCGCCGACGGAGAGTCCGAATTCGGCAAACACTCCAAAAATTGACCTGAAATCAGATTCCATTCGAAAAAAAGACCTGAAATTACATTTTTTGTGGTGCAAATTACATTTTTGCAAAAACCTTTCGAAAACAAAACAAAACCTCTAAAATATCGTCGCATCAACGCCACGAACTCCTCAAATTCCACCACCGCATTCCGCAGCCGCTCATCATTTTCATTCAATTCACTAGACGGATTCTCTCGCAACTGCACGTCGTCATCGTCCAAATAACTGCTTCCCGGCTCCTGTTCATGAGAAACTCCGGAGCCAGCTCCAACTCCAGCTCCGGCCCGACCTCGAGCCGAATGCCCGTCTTCCACCATCTTAGTTTCACTATCATCACTGGAATTCTCGCCACCTTCCTCCTCTTCCTCTCCAGCCACCTCTAAACTACTTCGTCGCGATGCGGACGATAGATTCGACCCGGAGAGCGAAGACAGCAACGTCTCAGAACTATTATTCAGTTCATAGTCATCCATATGCTGAAAAAAAAAAGACCAAAATGATCAATGATCAATTGATCAAAAATGATCAATTTTTTCAATTTCAATTTTCAATTTTCACACGAAAATAACTGAAAATTTTCTTCACCAACATTTGAAGATTCACTGAAACAAACCAAAAAAACAAAACAAAACAAAACAACCGCATTAAACGAACCGCTCGTGTTCGAATCATCCGCGAGGCTCTCGATTTTGGTCTAACCGCACCTGCGCCTGCGCCTTCATCCTTATCACCACCAGCCGCAGCCGCAGCCACAGCCATAGTTCCAGCTCCATCCTTATCACTTGGTTCATCAGCGCCACACCTGTCCTTATCAGTGCTCTTATCAGTAGCTCCGTTATCAGCATCCTCATCCTCATCCTCGCCCTCCGCATCCAAACCTCTACTGTCCGCTACTCTTCGCTTGCCCAAATTTCGCGCTCCTAGCAGCCGCCGATTCATGAACGCCGCCGTCTCATTTAAATCCAGTGAATCCTTATCACTCTCGACGTTATCACTGTTATCAGCAGCGTTATCAGTCACCTCCTCATCCTCGTCCTCATTACCTCCACCACCACCATCCGAGGATGACTCTAGACGATTATCACGATCCAGCAACATTTCAATATCTTCCTCTTCCGTTCCTTCCGCTGCTTCCGCCGCAATATCACCACCTTTAAGTCGAGCCTGAGTCTGGTGGCCTCCTCGTCGATTCACCTCAGCTTCAACTTCCCGGCTCCTAGTGTCTGCTCCAAACGCTGGGAAGCGTTCACTTACTTGCCCAACCGCAGCAGCAGTAATACCCGCACCCGCACCGTCCTCTTCAGATGATCGCTCAGGCTCTCGTTGGCCCTCCTCAACCTCATCATCGTACCCGCCGTACTCATCATACACATACCGATATTCCGTCGCTTCATCTGCCGAATTCAGACTGCTGCTTCCACGCCTCGCAACTCGTTCAGAGAGCACCAGTCGAGCTGCAGCAGCAGCCCGATTTCCGCTCTCTGAAGTCACCAAACCCGGCAACCCGGCTACCGCCGCCCACAAACCGGCCTCGTCCGTCTCCTCCTTGTTCCCTAGCTCACCAGCCTCTCCCAAATCCAAATCCTTATCAGTACCACCCTTATCAGCCCGTCTCTTATCACCACTACCCACCACACCTTTCGCTCTCATCCGCATCTTCACATCCATCATTGTCACCTCAAACACCGCAAACTTATAACTCTCCAGTTCACTACAACACGACGAAATAAACTGCGGGGCTTGATAGAAGTCAAAGTTCGCTTCTTTTAAAGTAAAAGGGTCATTCCGCAGCAGTTGTGAGTGACCACAGTTGCAGGTACTCAAGAATCTGGCGGCACTCGAGTGCAGCGTCCGCTTCGAGGCCGGCACCGACACCGTTTCCGGTCCGGCATGCACGGGCTGGGTACATTCGTTTCCGGTCAGCGAAATCTGCTCACAGGCCTTCTGCGTAGCCCAAATTGCTTCACACTCTTCGATCAGCTCCGCTTTTGCCTTCTCCAGATCACTACCGTGATAGACGGCTTCCAGTTTTTCGATAGCACGTTGTAACTGAAACACACTGGTCATCATAAATCTGGTTAAAAATAACCAAAATAACCATCATAAATTACCACAAAAAACCACAATTTCCGCACCTTAATTTGATGTTCCCGCTTCGTATATCGCAACGGCTTACATTTCTCCAGTTCCCGCGCATCACGATACGTGTACGTCGACTTTGCCGCGCCAATATAGCTCGGTCGCATCATGCGCATGAATTGCAGCTCGATATTCGACAGCTCGCCGATCTGATCATCACTCAGCAACGACACCCGCTGATCACCACCGTTGTGATCTGATCGCATCATCAATCGATCGTAGATCAGTTTGGTGCAGATTAAGAACGCTTTCAGTTTCGGTACCTCATAGACCACTCCTTTATCGGGTTCGTGTCGTATCTCGTCCAGGCTTCCTTTCAAAAATAGGCTGAATTCACTGAACGCTGCCGTATTTGCTGCTGCTGCACGTTTTTTCTTCACAATACCACTGATCTCACCTGCTGCCCCAGTCTCCAAATCATTACCATTCACATTACCCGTCGTATCTTTACCCGAACCAGCAGCTCCGGCTCCGGCTCCACCTGGAGCTCCAGCTCCCCCGTCATCCGAAGAGCTGCTAGTCGTTGTCAAGATTAAATGCGAGACCATCTCGCGAATATAATCCTGCGCCGTTGAATCGTCACGATTCTGCGTAAAAACATATACAAAAGGTGTACCCTCGCAAGGTATCGACACACAATTATAACTCTTATTTGAATGTGCGATCAATTTATATAGTCTCAACACATTAAATATCTGATTCTCTAGATTCTGTTCCAGCTTTGTCATTAACTCTTTTCGTTTAACAGCACCCAAATCCGTACGCAACGGGCTTCGATGGAACGCAAACAACAATCTTGGCCTGGCCAGTCGGCCTTCGATTGCCCATTCCCGTGGGCAATTCGCGGCCGAAAGCTTTCCCAAAGCCACACACAGTTCTTCGCGTACAGACAGGCGCAGCTCGTTGGCCTTCTTTAGAAATTGACACAGGGTCAGATCGAAACGGCAACATGGTTCCAAATGCAGGAGCACGTGTGAAACACATAGGAGAAAAGTCAGTGCCCGAATATAATCACGCTCCAGCACTGCGATCCTCTCGAAAAAGCCACTGCCACCATTGTCCTACAAATTATCATCCACCAAAATCCACTAAAATCCACCAAAAAAACAAAAAATTTTAATCGTATTCACCTAAACATCAATAAAAATAATAATAATAATCACAAAACTCACTGTTTTCTGCGTTGGTTTCATAAAGGCTTGCTCCAACGCTTCCACATCTCCATACCCGTTCAATCTCAAAAATACTGTCGATATATCAGCCGCATAGAATGCATCTATCTGAAATTCCCATCAATCAATCAATCCAACCAATCAAATCAATCAATCAATCAATAATCGATAATCACGGATCAAGCACAAAAGTACAGATCAAACACAAAAACCACCAACTTACTGAGGTGCTTGACGTCTGATTTCGACGATAGGTCGATAAAAAGACGTTATTTTGCAGAAATGCATTAATAGGTTGAGATTTGGAGTGTTGTCGACACTCTTTGCCTATTATAGCAACCACTAAAACACGACGGTCTTCGAATACACTCAAATTGTAGACACTTCGGGTGAGCCACTCGTCCAGTGGCTCACTTAACTGCTCTTCACGCATTATTTAAACCTGAAATTAAAGAGCACGGAAATTTGCAATTATTCTTGCTCGAAACTACGCAGTAATTAACAGTAACGGCACGCCAAAAAGACCCACAATCGAGGCCAACCACACATACTTTCAGGGGATTTCTACGGAATTTTCCACTATCTAAAGAAATCCGGAGCAAATATCGGCACGGAACCTGAAATCCGGCGAAAAAAAAATCAGCAAAACAAAAAAAACACCAGCAAAAAATTACTCGATATAGACAGGTCGCCAACGGGATGTGTGGCTATTTCGCCACAGAGTGGGATATCCGAACATGCAGTTCCAATGTATGTTGTCGATTTTCCATTTCCCGGTCAATCGCATTTCCCAGCCAGCCGCCAGGTTCCCTTCCGACTTCTGGGCAAAACTCCTGAGTATCCTGACCCCGAGCGAAACTTAAACTTAAACTAAAACTGAAAACTGCCTGAAACTTGGGAAAAAAACCTGGGAAAAGACAATGAAATTCCCGCAAACGTAAACGCAACCGCGAAGAAACAAACAAGTTTTGCGAACTTGTTTCTTGAATTTTTGCTAAACTTCTGCAAATTATTATCTTTTGCAAACACCCACAAATGCAGAAGCACATGCAAATGCGTATGCACAAGCAATTAAAATTCCATCATCTTTAATTAAACTTCAAAAAATTCCACTCCATTAGACCGGTTGCCTTCTTTTTTTTTCACGCAATTTAACGGATTTTCATATTTTCAGTGCTGCTGCTGCTGCAAAATCCAAAATCCGTAATCCGTAATCCGCAATCGCCGTTCTCACATTGAATAATCCGCATTCACAGCAAACATTTCTCACATTATCCAATTATTTCAATATCCGTTCGCTTATCCGTTTATATCCGTTCGGATATCCATATCCATATCGCCTAAGCCATATCACTTTTTTTTCAAATGAATTTTCACGGAATTCATCAAAAACCTGCATATCTGCAAATTTCGCTGCTGCTGTCATATCCTATACAATCGGTCACACACACACATATCACGGTTATCTGGTTGCTTCGGCACACAAAATCAGGCGCAATTCCTGTTTTGCAAATCTCTAATAGAAACACGTTCACAGAAATATCAAAAATTTCGCATTCCTTCGTCTTTTTTTGCATAAAAATAAGTTTCAATGCAAAGATTACAATTACATTCCCAAACAGTCCGATTCACTTCACTTCACTTCATTCAAAAACTCACTATCAATTGCAAAACACTCTTGATCTTCTAATCGCTGAACTTGATCCTGAAATTCCATCAGATCGAATCCAAAAAATCAAAAATCTCTTGTCAAAATTTCCGTTTCTCTGCCTGTCTGTCTGATCCATGGCCTTATGCACAGGCTCCTGTACTGTCTCTCTTGGCCNTCACTCGTCGTAGCTGATCTCTCGTAGCTGTCAAATCTAGATCCTAATCCAACAGATTACGTATATCCCCCTTCACCCGCGTTTCCCAAAGATTCTCACAGATAGATATATGGATAGATAGATGGGTGTCACCCGTCACCTCCAGTTCCTGCCAGCCACTCGCTCCATCAGCCACCCGAACCTGCCAACCGACTGGCTTCACTCTCTCTTATTGACAGCCGATCCATCCATTTCTCTCAAATCTTCCACAAGATATCCCAGATTTCACTGAATTTTGCTTTCACCCGTGCTCCTCTCCCTTTCCATCTCGTTCAGATCATCTCGTAACGTTGCACTGCTCTTTGAAACGATATTAATTAACACACCACAACAATGATACAATATAAAGACACGTTATCACATAATATAAAGACACAAGAAACTTTCATTTCATTCCAACATCACCTTCACTTCATTCAATTCACTTCACATTGATCTGATCGCGATCGATCGATCAGGTGGTGAACAACGTTGAAACTGATTTGGATTTGACCGTTTGTGACTTAATCTTAATCTTGATCTTTATCGATTTCCAAAACTTTATCAAAACGCTCTATCGTCCATTCTACAGCTCACAACGAGCGCGCCTTAATTCTTCTGATCGAATTGACCTACTACTTTATTTACTGTTTATTTACTACTTTACTTACTGTTTATTTTAACTAATCTTATCTGATAATTACTTTTTAACAAATTGACGATTATTATTATTATTATCTTATCGAAATCCCGTATCGAAACGCTGCGATTTCTCTCGAATTTCAATCTCAATCAATTTTTGAGTTAAATTTTTGAGGGAATCTAACCAAAACCAAGCCCATCACACACACAGACACACGAATGACTGCTTTCCTCGATCAAATCATCTCCAAACTTGGTCTTTACTTAATTTTCACGGCTACACTCCAACATCTCATCCCACTAGCCAGTTTCCAACGAAATACGGCAGTCACAGCCTCATTCACACCCGACTTCAACGCATGGCTCGTGCAAAAATTCGGTGACGACGTTCAAGCAACCCTGAACAGGTGGGTGGGTAAATCGCACGAGAATTTTACTATTTTATCGGAATATTTTGGTTTTTTTTTGAAAAATTCAGTTAATCAGGGGCCAAATTGCAGGGAGGATCTCGGGGATGCCGGCTCGTTCGGGGGCAAATCCTCTGCCGGGGAACGTCTACAGAGGCAACCGGTCGTGTTCGTACATGGGGTGTCGGATCGCGCCCACGATAAACCCATAGCCGCAGCCAGATACTTCAAGTATCACTCATTATTATTATATTTATTATTATTATATACATAATTATTATTATTTCCAGGGAACATGGCTATGAATGGAGTGAGCTATATGGCACGACCTACGCGAACGGGGCCCAAGGAAATCCCCTACAATGGCTCCATTACGCGATGTATTGTTCTTACGTTAAACAGGTCAAAAAATTTTGAACAGCTAAAGAAAAACGCAAAAAAATCTCCAAATAACACGTCGAATTTCGAGAGAAACAGACAAAAAGAGTGGCGAAATATCGTAGAAACAGACAGCGAGAGATGCAGAGAGATTGTAAGCAAAGAAAGAGACGAGAGAGGAAAAGAAAAAGACTGGCGAAAAGAGTTCTTTACTAGCGGAGAGCAACCAGACGTAAAACAAAACTGTTAGAGAGCAAAATTTCAGGTTCGCGCCTTGATAGTAGCGGTTCGTCTATATACGGGTCGAGCCGTCGATGTGGTGGCCTATTCGCTTGGGGTACCGATTAGCCGTAAGGCTATTCTGGGAGGTTCGGCGATTAAGATTTGGAAATTCTGCCCAAAGTTTGGGAAATTCCATTTCCCAG